TTATCTATGCTGCCTTCTGAAATATATTGTAAATGGAAACAGAACCACAGAGTCCATTAAATTTCTTAACTTTTATTTACAATCTGGTTTCAATTAGTCAATCACACTGACAATGGAAAAAATAAAATTGGTACTTGAAACCAACTTTAATTCACTAATTGAATTAAAAGGCTGCAGAAAATCTAATTAATCTCAGGTAGATTGTTAATAGTGATAAATGCCACAAAAAATCTGTTTGAAAGTATTAGGAGAAGAGTCACAAAGTTGTATGAAGACAGATTAATATCTAGGCTGCTTCAGAGATGAGGATGTTGAGTTTGTAAACATTGATACAGTAGTAACTTTGACTTTAATTTTCTAACATATACAGTATGTGACAAGATAAGACTTAGTTTTGTCTTTTCCCTCACATTTTAATTATGTGAGGGAAAAGAGAAGGGAATTGTTAATTATTTATACACAATTCAAATCATAAGAATATATGTATAGGAGTTTGTATCTAATGGACACACACAGACCAATGACAAAGTATAAGGCCCACCATCCAAGGGGAATTCCTTGACTTGAGAGTTTGACGCAAGTGTCAATACGGACAGTTCTCAACTTACAACTACAACTGAGCCCACAATTTCTGTTGCTGAGACATTTATTATGACATAATGGCATTTCTTGCCATTAAGTGAATCACTGCAGTTATTAAAGTCAGTAATTCCACTGTTAAGTGAATCTGGCTTCCCAATTGACTTTGCTTGTCAACAGGTCACAAAAACTCATCACATGATCCCTGGACCTGCAACTATCATAAATATGAGTCAGTTGCCAAGAGTCTGGATTTTGATCACATGACCATGGGGGTACTGCATCAGTCGTAAATGTAAAAAATGGCTATAAGTCACTTTTTTTAGTGTCGTCGTAACTTCAAATAGTCACTAAATGAAATGACCATTTATTAAAAAAACATCATAGGCACTTATTAGTAAATCTTCTTGAATAATCCATATGTGCTTATTAAAGATGTGCCCATATATTAGAGTGTATTGTCTCCGAGGACACAGTAGACAATCTCTTCTAAGAAGGCACCAGTCCCATTCACTAAATGCTTTCTTAGTTTTAATCTGCTACCCACTTATTCAGGGGAACATTTTTAACCGACCAAATAGCTTATTGACTGAATTTAAACAAATGCCTTTGAAACAGCCCTAATTAATAAATCAGGTTGTGTTCTCCACTGAGAATCTTTGATCTAGCAAAACCTAGGAAAGAGTTTTTGTTGATTTGCTATTTCCTTTCCACTCTTCTAAATCCTTCTCCAGAATACTTCATAGAATTACTGGTAAGAAGCACTTAGGGGAAAAATCTCTACTGCAGCTGACAAAAGCATGCACAAGATAGAACTACCTAACTATCCTTGAAGAAATATAATTGCATATAACACATTGCATAGTAGCACTTTGGATTCAAAGTGAGGCTAGCTGGATGGGGAATTCTGGGAGTTGATCCACAAAGTTGTCAAGTTAGAAAAAATACAGCCTTAAATAAAGGGCATCTTTCCCTGAATACCGTATTTTTCGGAGTATAAGACACACCAGAGTATAAGACACACCAAGGTTTTGAAGAGGCAATTTTTTTTAAAAAGTAGGTAGGTAGAGAGAGAGAAAGAGAGAGAAATAAGTAGGTAGGGAGGGAGAGAGAGTAGTTAGGTAGGTAGGTAGGTAAAGGGAGAGAGAGAAAAAAATACAGTAGGTAGGAAGAGAGAGTAGGTAGGTAGGTAGGTAGGTAGGTAGGTAGGTAGNGGGGGGAGGGGGTGTTATAACACACAAATAATGTCCCAATATTAATGGGGACATTTAAATAAGGACTTTATGAAAAGGAGTTTGGATAGTGAAGGAAGAAGTTTAACAAGTGTGTCAAATTAAGCCACCTAAAGAACACCTTCCCCCAGGATATTTCATAGATCTTCTCTATTCCACGCAAAGGAATTGTTGTCTCCAGGAGAGTTCTTTCTCACAGATAGGATGACTAATAGTTACCTAAATAGTGAACACATTGAATTGACTTCACCTGTTCAATCCTCTACAAAGAATGAAAGAAAACAAATGATGTTGCAACCGTAATTGCCTACATAGAAGAGTTTCACTTGAAGGTAGAATACTCATATTGTGTTGTCATTGTGACCTTCCCCATAAAAGACTGTTTAATCAGGGATTTTGGATTATTGTTCTTTGGATGAACTATGAACAAACTGTTTGGAGGAAGGTCTGATTCTTTTCACACTATGTCAAGACCACAATGAAAGGGAAATTTACATTTACAAAATCCTTCTACATTGAATAATTCTCTATGTATGCACTGACATTAAGTTCTGGAAAGGACCTAGTGTGGAAATTTAAAATATAATCTCAGTGTTCATTCCAACCTCAGTCAAAATCTTGGTTCACAATTCCAAATCTGTGTCTACCTCTTTTGAAATAGAAATAACACTTAGACTTATATATCATTTCACAGTGCTTTACATCCCTCTTCAACAGTTTAGAGTTGGCATACTGCCCCCAGCAATCTGGATCCTCATTTTGCCAACAGCAGAAAGATGAGTCAACCTTGAGCCAATCAGGATTGAACTCCTGGAGTGAGCAGTTGAGTTAGCCTGCAGTACTGTATTCTAACCACTGCACCACCACCACATCTCTTACTGCAGTGCAATCACTGCTGAAGTGACAGATTGCATTCATTTCAGACACACAGTTTCAGGCTTCAAGCTAGCTACCTACACATTTTGCTTTCTTAAAAAAATGTATTTTGTTGTTTTAATTTAATATTAGATGAAATTTCCAGGAACAGTGGCTCATTTTGGAAGTTTTATACAAGTTTCAAAAATTGCCTTTTCCATTTAAGTTTCCCTCAAAAAAAAAGAAAGAAAGAAAACAACAAATCCAATCCAGTGGCGCAGTGGTTAGGGTGCAGTACTGCAGGTCACTTCAGCTGACTGTTATCTGCAGTTCAATGGTTCTAATCTCACCGGCTCAAGGTTGGCTCAGCCTTTCATCCTTCCGAGGTGGG